AACAGTCACACATAACTTAATGTAATCATGGGAATGACTTCCCACCACCTTTGCCTTATTCTGTTGGTTGGAAAGGTCATAAGTTCTGTCATTCAAGGAGAGGGAACTTTTAGATATTAGGAGGTTAAGGTCTGCCCACTACAATGAAAAAACAGGATTTTTTTGGTCTTTTTATATATAGAGTGTGAGACAAAGAGAAGAACAACTGAAAGTTGAATTTGCAATTAACTGCGGTCGGGAAGCCTTAAGGAGGGAAGGCAAGAGCTCAGATGTGGCTACGTATATCATATAAGATGCCTATTACCCACATGGAGATGGCAAATAGACAGTTGCATATGCAAATCTAGAGTTAAGGGAAGAGGTTAGAGATATAAATTTGGGATTCATTAGCATATAAGTGGCATTTAAAGCCAAGGAATGAGATCACTGGGGAGTGAGGGTAGATAAAAAACAAGTGTAAGGACTGGATTCTAGATTTCTCCACATGAAAGAATCACGGAGTCTAGGAAGAAGCAGTGAGGAAGTGAGATAAGAGTGAGAAAAGAGGAATGGATGAGAGTGGAGTTTGTCCAGGCTTTAATTTGTTTAAATCTCAGAAGACAAAGTTATTTCTCTCATCGCTCAGTTTTGGGAGACATCTGCCTACCCTGTTGCCTCTCTTCTCTCTGAACGGGCAGGGTGTTTTCTAGTGGTCTGAGGTGCCAAATGTGCATGGAAACAAGGTTTGATTTTGTTGTGAAAGTTCGACAGCTCCATCTGCATTCTTGCCCAAATAAGCCAACCTAGTTCAGCCTGAATGTGGGCAACATGGTCAGTAGGAGTGTGAACTGTTGTATTTTGGGGCTGACACCATAAAAAACAAAAAACAAAAAACAGGCTGCTCTGTAAAGCATACACCTTCTCAGGTGTCAGGTGACATATGTCATGCACTACCTCAAAAGTGAAAGTGTTCAAACAGTGAGAAGAGAGTGAGTCTTCCTTTCATGTATTCGATGTGGATAATAATAGAGGCATTTTTGTCTATACCCTTCTGTCAAACATTTATTTCAGTATCCATGGGTTATATACAGAAATTTATGAAATTATTAAAATGTAAATACTATCTGTGGGCATAACAAACCACCATGGGTTCACCTAATCATACCCTGAATTTAAAGATATATTTTAATACATTTTACTTTTGAAAAAAATAATTTCTGTTTTTGTAGCACACAGAGAAATGTACTTGAAATTCTAAGTGGTTAAAGTAGAAATAAAAAGACCCTATTTGTGTAAATTCAGTACATAATATAATTAGCACTGCAAATAATGTGATATGCATGCATTTATACTGTGTTATTAGCTGTGTATGCTGAAGCTATGTTACTTGATTCCCAGTCCCTTTTTATACATAAACAAAAACCCAAATGTTCACTTAGAAAACAAATATGTGTTTTATCCAATGTCCACTCAGGTATTTCTTAGGTGTCTTCATTGCCCAGCAAAGACAGAATTTTGGTCACGTGACAAATTATGAACCCTATTTCTTATTTGGGTAGTACTCATTTGGAATTAATTATGTTTTCAAACAGCATGCAAATGATTCTATTAGCTCTCTGCCACAGTTAGGTTAAAGTCCTTATTTAACAAGTAAAGAAACAGAAGCAAAGAGTTCAACAGCTTTCTCTGAACTCAGTGAGGCTGGCCGGCTCCTGTTGGACCACACAACTGACATCCCAACTGGGGCAGGTTGAGTCCGGAAGCAGGAGTTACAAGCAGTGTAATGAAATGGCTGCATTGCCTTTCAGATGGGCCTGGAGGTCAAGTTAGTTTATTTGTTTTTAATTTAGCTGAAATTATAGGCTAGTTGAAAGATTCCTTTGTCTGTAGGGATCTCTGGAATAGCCACAGAAACATTTCGGTCTCTCTCTTGCTTTCCTCCAACCCCTTCTCCCATTTGCAGGATTAGAAAAACACTTGGGAGGTACATTAATCTTGCCAGTGTTGTCAGGAGTGATCAGCGAGTTTTATTAAAAGCCCTGGGATTGCCTGAAAGACCTCCTTGTCTGAGTTTGCAATAAAAGAGGCATGTTAAGATCTTGGGGCACTTCGTCGGGACCCCTTGCCCTGCCCCTTGGACCAGGAGCTGACACCTCCGGAAGAAGCACAGAAGCTCTCCTTTGTTGAAGGGATTTCACCAGTGGACGGAAAGAGTTGGCTCCTGTCGGCATGAGCTCTATGTGCTGGGGTGGGCGGAAAGCCCTGCTGCTGCTCCTCCTGGGCTTGGCCAGCCCCACCTTCATCAGCGTGAACCGTGGGGTCAGGGTGATGAAAGGCAGCTCTGCTTTCCTGTCAGGAGATGACCTGAAGTTTGCCATCCCCAAAGAGAAAGATGCTTGCAAAGTGGAAGTTGTGATGAATGAGCCAATAACCCAGAGGGTTGGAAAACTCACTCCACAGGTAGGTCATATCAGAGATTTTCTATTCATATATTCAGTAATGTGTTTCAATGTACAGTATGTGAGTGTGGGAGGGAGGTGGTAGGAGGGAGGGAGGGAGGGAGAGAGAGAGAGGGAGGGAGAGAGGAAGGGAGGGAGAGAACAAAATTGGCAGTCTTTCAAGAGTTGTAGCGGGCAGCCTCTTGTGTGGTATGATATGGTCAGTTTTTATGAGTTATTCCTGCCCCCAATCATTTCACCCATTGCTAGTCAGGGCGCCTTGGGATACCAGGATTTCAAGCATTTTTAGAACACACTGTGACCACAGAATAGCAGAAGTAAATCAGGAAGACATTTTCATCTATTAGCATCGCATAAACATTCCCTTGAGTAAAGAGACATGGAAAAGAAATGTGAACATACTTCACTTTAAAAATTCCCTGCTTTTAAAAAAATGTCTGCATGAATTTTTTTTTCTTATAAACCTAGGAGACCTTGTCATTTAAGGATATTCTATGCTCAATCCTTTTGTAGGGTGAAAAAAATTTTAAAAAATCTGTATTATATTGTATTTGCTTAAAGTAGGAGCTTATCTCTATACACAATAGAAAAGTGCTTCCGGTTTTATTACTTGTTGGTATTGTAGGTTAACTTTCCTCTCAATGCAAACAATTTTGAGAATATTCAACACTAGATGCTGCTGCTGCTTCTGGAAAAACATACTACTTCCCATTTCTGAACTGTGAACAGTAATTTTCTTCTCCATTTGGCTAAAGAAATATATTCCATGAGGTTATTCAAAAGTAGTGCTAAATGTTGTAGAGATGGACTAAAGAGCCTTAGATAGATGCTAGCTCAAATTGACAGCTCTGTACACTCCATTTACTGTATTTAAAATTACAGTCTGATTCTGAAACACATTAGAATTCTATGGAGGGCTTTCACCTTGGGAATACTCCTGATGTGATAGTAACCAGATAGCTCCCCTTTAGTTTCCCACAAGATTTGCTTTTGTCAGTCAAAGAGCTTCAGATGGGCATCTAAAAAATGTTAGTATACAATAATGGCATCAGGTCCCAAGTGTGTGTAATTGCAACGTCTCCTCACTTTTTCCCAATACAACTTGCACTCTGAAATGTGTTTGATTGGCACATTTCAGTCTAGGAGAAAGGAGAGACCTGGATGGAGTAGGTGACATGAATAGGCTTAGCTGCAGGCAACAGAGACACAACTTCAGGGACTGGGGTCAAAAGCAAATCCTTGGAGTTTTGGAGAGCAGCAAAATAGAACCCTAATCCTAGAGGACTGGGGCAGGGAAGAGGTGGGTGGGGGTGGGGAGGGGTATTCTTCCTGGTAGCATGCTGGGGCAACCTATGGTCTAGCTGTATTTAACTCTGGCCCCAAGGATGCATATGCTAATGAATAAAACAAAAGCCCTGTTATTCACCAGATTCTTCCTCTTTAGAAAGCAATTTGGGGAGGATGTACTATTACTTAAGCCAGCCTCTGCGGGGTGTCCTCTTCTCATCTCAAACAGACTTCTTAACATATACAGCACTTTTTCTGAGAATAATGAAATTGTCTATATTACTTTTTTTGGTGATATCTTAATACAGGGGTCCCTAACCCCGGGGCCACAGACTGGTACCGGTCAGTGGCCTGTTAGGAACTGGACTACACAGCAGGAGGTGAGAGGCAGGCGAACGAGCAAAGCTTCATCTGTATTTGCAGCCTCTCCCCCGCGCTAGCATCACAGCCTCAGCTCCACCTCAGCTCATCAGGAATTAGAGTCTCATGAGAGCACTGGTCCCTGATGCCAAAAAGGTTGGGGACTGCTGTCTTAATGGCTCTGAGGCACTGGAGAATAAAAAGGGATCTAAGTGACTAAAACTAGGTAAAAAACTTATTTGGTCAGAAGATCAAGCGTTGGAAAAGATCTGCGAGTTATTTCGTCTCAAACTTTCTCTGATTTTAAGGCAAAAATCCACATAGAAAGATAGTATGAAACAGAAAGAAAAACATGCCAGGCTGATTTAGGGGTCTTGACTGCTAGGGAAGGGGATGGGGCTTTGAATATCCCCAGGTGTCCCCAAGTGAATAGTTGCTCATTAAACAACAACAACAAAATCTAGTCTTGAATGTTCAGTACATGTATTTCCAGAGGGTAAATCTGACTTTTTAAATGGATTTCTATCATCTAAAGTAGATATCTAATTTACATTTTCTAAAATTTATCCTGTAGAAAAGCCTTCCCTTAAAATGTAGAATTTTATCACCTTTTTGTCAAATATAAGAACTTTGTACCATAAAGAAATCTATACATCCAAAAAATGTTGTTTCTCACACTACCAGGCGATTGTCCTATTTATTTTTTTTATTCTGATAATTTCAACAAAAAAAGAAATTCTCAAGTAAAGTTTGCTATTTTGAAATGATGTGCTTATTGTTAATTCAGGCTGATTCAGCTCTCCCCAGGGATTTATTTCTTATGGAGTTTTTGAAATTAAGCGTAGCCAAGCAAACACACACACACACACACACACACACACACACACACACACACCCCACCCCCAAACAGTATTCTTTAATAGAGCTTACTAGTAAGTTGAAAGCAAGGCTTATGTGAACCCATTTCTAGCAAGATGACTGTATTAACAGCACCCTGCTGTGTAATCAACGGTTTTATTTGATTTGCACATAAAATGTTTTGTTTAACATCTGTTCAATTAGTGTTTTCATCTCATTACTAAAGTTTGTCTTAGGACCAACAGGTTAATTTTCCTATCGGATGTACGGAAAGGGATTTCCATTGGTGCACACCAGTACCTTCTGTTTAGACAACCCTCCTGATATAGTCAATTAGATAAGGTCGACGGCAATATGTTTTCCTCACATTTTAAGTCAAGACTTCCTCACACACAGCACTTCTCACACCTGTCCCAAAGAAAAATTTCCTGGGTAGAAAAGCACCCCAGTTTAGCCCTGAGCTTGCTCTTTTGAATAGGAAATACAGCAGTAAGAAAATATCTTTAGTTTAAACCAGTTTACTGTCATTATCGTGAGTAATGAGTTAGGAATGTGTGACAATTTAATTATAAATTGTAATTGAAAAGCAGTTGAAGTGGAAAAAAATAAAGCTAGACAGTAATTAGAAAAGGATTTAGCTCTCCTTTGTTTTAGTTAGTAAATTTATGGACAATTATCGTTGTCGCCTTTTATAAAAGGAAAACATATTATGAAACATAAAACAGATGTTTCTTTTAACAAAGCAGATTGTCTCTTTATTACCATGACTATTTGTCAATGATATGGGAAAGGTCTTTCCTTTATTTCCTTCCTTGTTGTAAATTAAAAAGAGAAACCAATGATGTCTGTGGGAAAAGAAGATCATTTGTATTAGTGATAAAGTCTTCTCAGGGAGAATTATGTTGTCTGCAAATGTTTGAAGCTGTAACAAGGTACCGGGTAAACACCATGAACTCAAAGGTGATGATGTCTGAATACCTCAAGGGTACAGTAAGTCCTTACTTAACATTGCTGATAGCTTCTGTGACTTTAAGCAAAAACACTTATAACAAAACCTGCTTTGTCATAGGCTAATTGATATAAACAAAGGTTAAGTTCCCACTGCAGCTCATCAACATTATATCAAAATTACATTGAATGAAGTGACAATATTCCAGGACCTGTTATATTTCTTAGAACTCTACCAAGTCAGAATGGGCAGAATGAGGGTTATAGTGTAAGTGGAAGAGAAAATTCTTCTTTTAAAAACTAGTATTCTCAGAATATAACAATAATTTCCTTAATAGTTCTGAGTGGGGTGATACAGTTAATTATACTTTTATTCGAATAGAGAAAATTGCCTTTCGATTGCTATTTGTCACAGCAACCATTTCTGTTTTACATAAATAATAAAAGTATTCTCTCCCAAGTATATGAAAAACAGCTGTGGGTCACATTTGGCTCTGATGAACCCCATTAGTGTTCATAGTCAGTGGCTTCATCTTTAAATATAAAAACGCTATTTGGAAAAGAAGGAAATAAATAAAGAAAAAATATATACAGAACTCATACAGTGTGTTTGTGTATAAGGTAATGAATGCCTTTTTGTGCATACAAAAAAAGAAAAGGTAGGCCCATTGTAATTGCTACGAACCCCTGAGGGGTGTGAGTAAATAACATTTTGATAAATGAGACCATATTTTAAATGTACTATTGACTAAAAAGATTATTTTGAGAGATTATTGCTCCTTAATTAATCTGCTGAATCTGATTTTCATAATTTAGATATTCTCAAAACAAGGCACAACTGTATAAGCAGAATGGTGAGTGGGCATGGGGCTGGGTTGAGGAGGCAGTGATTAAAACACACATGTGCGCGCACACACACACACACAGAAAATAAAGCAAAACATTAATAGACCATAATTTCTCAGGACAATAGTGCTGGAAAATTAAACCTTGTACTAATTTTCTCACAGATATTCATTCATTTCTTCCTGTGAACTAGGTCTTTGACTGCCATTTCCTTCCCAATGAAGTAAAGTATATCCACAATGGCTGCCCAATCCTTGATGAAGATATAGTGAAACTTAGACTTTACAGGTAAGCCATACAGGAACGTCATTCATTCTTTGCCAGATAACCATTTCATGTACTTTTTCTGTGGATAGGTGTCATCATGGGGAGTTACTAGAGTCCAAACAAGATTATCGGTAGAAACTGAAGACAGATGGGTGAGGCAAGAATCACCGACTTTCAATGATCTTTATTTGTATCATCTTCCTTGGGGCTTTTCTGTGGCAAATTATTAACTATTCTGCTGCCCTTTAGACTTCTTGTACGGGTATTTCTGGATCCGACCTTTCACTTATGACGGGAAATGGAAATTATAAACTAAAAATTCTTAATGAGAATTAGGTGAAAACATTTCAAAATTTAGTAAAATCCTTGTTTTTGATGATCAGCTGCTTCGTTATAAGTACAGTATCATTTATTTTAAACATATTAAATAATAAAAACATTTAAAAATTAATTATGAAGTTAAACAGAGCAACCATATGACCCAGCAGTCCCACTTATGTACACAAGAGAAATAAAAACCTGTTTACCGCAAATGTTTATTGCAGTATTATTCATAATAACCAAAATGTTGAAACAGTCCAATTGTTGAATGCATAAACAAAATGTGATATAGCTGTGCAATGGAGTATTATTCAGCCATAAAAAAGAACGAAGTATTGATACATGCTACAGCATGGATAAACCTTGAAAACTTTATGCTAAATGAAAGAAGCTAGACACAAAAGTCACATATTGTATGATTTCATTGACATGAGATATCCAGATAAGGGAAATCTATTAGGACAGAAAGAAGGTTAGTGGTTGCCAGGGGCTGGGAGAGGGGCAAATGGGAAGTGACTGCGAATGGGTATAGATTTCCTTTTGAGGTGATGAAATGTCTTGGAATTAAAGAGTCATAATGATTGTACAACCTGTGAGTATACTAGAAACCACTGAGATGTATACTTTGAAAAAGTGAACTTTATGGCATATTAATTATATCTTAGTAAAAAGTTAATTTAAAAATTAAGCTTATGTAGTATTGCTCACTTCATATAGACGACTGAGAATTCAGTGTTAGTGGAGTAGGCCTTGCTCACTTTATATAGACGACTGAGAATTCAGTGTTAGTGGAGTAGGCCTTTATGTAGTTTTTTACTTGTGTTTACTGTTCTTATGAATATTTGGATAAAATACTTCAGTGTGAATTTCCCTTAAGCATTAGAATAATACAAAAGAGTTTCATAGAAGACACTGGAACAGTGAGTCATTCTGTGAACACTTATGATTACCTACTATAGGTCAGGTCTTGTCCTGGGCATAGGAAACAAAGAGATGAGGACTCTCGGTGCTCATAGTCTGATGCAAAAGGTGAGTAGGTAATTGTGATGCAGAATGACAAGTGCTGAAAGAGAGACATGAGCAAAATGCCGTGCTCAGAAAATGAAAAGACATTCAAAGTTTTCTTAGGAAGCTATGCAATCAGCATGCAAACAAGGCTTTTTGATTTTTCTAAGACTCTAAAGTTAAAAAACAAATTAACTTCAGAGACCTTGCCTAGGTGGGCTGGAAAAGATGATGATTCTGGCTGCTCCCATTTCTTCCTTGAGTTTCTAAGGAGTGGAGAGGGTAGAGGAGCTGTCATCCCTCTTCATTTTGAGGACATTTATTTAAAATAGGATATTCAAAGGAGTTGGAGGCAGAAAGTCAGGAAGCATACTTATTCTCCTCTTACCTCCTCTCCAGCCTTTCGGCCAGCTACTTGACCTCTCTATGCCTCAGTTTCCTCATCTGTAAAATGAGATTAAAATGTCTATGTAAGTTCCTATAAAGACTGAATGAGATACTTTCTGTAAATAGTTTAGCATTAGCCTGGGCCATAATAAAAGCACATCAATTAGGAGATGCATTATTGATGCACACCCATCAGTCATTAATTTTCTCCCTGCATATATCCAAAGGACATAATTGCTAAGGTATTAGAGGGAATGGAAGTAACAATCACTGAATACCTTTTACATGCCAAGCACCCAAACTAGGCTGTAAATAACCGTGCACGTAATGGTGTTTCTGAAGAGAAGGCTTTGATGCTTCAGAAACTCCTCACCCATTCACTTCTGAATTAAAACACAACCCATAAATTATACAAGCTTGATACTCATAGATTATGTTTGTTCTAGAACTGAGACTCTGTGCGTATGGCAATCATTAAATATCAGCATGGATAATGGGTTTGAGAGCAAGTATTGAAAGAAAGGTCATTGGAGGTTAAAGTGGCAGAAAAAGGAGTTGACGGCAATATAAGGATAAGAAAGAAAAAGAACAGAGAGATTGAGATACAGAGTATGAAATAAAATCCAATCTCTACCCAATAATCAAATGTTGTGAAGACCAATCTTTAGGCTTCAGTTCAAGTACACAGGTATCAAAAGTGCCTAAGCACCAATAAGTATTTCCTTTGCTGTGTTCTCTCCACAGATTTACTGAGACAGACACCTTCACGGAAACCTTTATCTTGCGGATCTATCTCCTAGAACCAGACTGTAACATCATCCACATGAGTAACAATGTATTAGAGGTGTCTGAATTCTACGGTCTGTCCCGAACCATCGATAAGAACCTGCTTAGATTTGATTATGATAGAACAGCTAGCCTGGAATGTACGGTCAGTCTGGACCCTGTGGTAACTCACCTTCCAGCCCACGGCCAGATGGTTGTGATGGAGCCTCAGTCAGAAGAGCCTCGTGGAGATCAGCCACACATTTTTTTCCCTGAGTCTCGTAAGATATGTTTTAATACTTATTTGGATGTTCCTAAAATATCTATAAATGGTCGTCTTCCACTAGGACAAAGAGTTTTACTTCATATTACTTGTAGCTGGTTGAAAAATGTAGGTTAGTGGTTTAGAGTATGGACTTTGGAATCATAAAGACCTGGGTTTGCAAACTGCTTCTGCTATTCATTTCCTGTTGATTCTATGCAAGTTTCTTAATCTGTTTAAGTCTGTGAAATAGGCTCCATAGGGTTATGTAAAGATAGAGGAAATGAGATCACATGCACAAATAGTTTATGCAGTCTGACTCATAATAAGTGCTCAAGAATTGTCAGCTGTTTTTAGTAACAGTAATGCTGGCAATAGTAGTAAAAGTAATTGGTGTATTATTATTAGATTATGAGCAGATTTGAGGTAGAGCTGGTGGGCAGCAGCCATGATTTAAATCAGGAAGATTTGATAGATAATTTTCTTTCTGTTATTTTTTCTTTCTGTTAATCATTCAATCAATATATTTTGGGCAACTCCTATATGCATAATAGTGTTCTAGGCACTATGGAAAGACTAAGAAATATGAAGGATAATCATAGTTAGAGCAATACCTTGAATCTTGACAGTTTACGGCTAAAGACACACTTGTTCATAAGTCATCTCATTCAGTCTTCACAACCATCTGGTTAAGAAGTGGAATATCCATTTTCTATATCAGGATAATGTACAAAAGGCCACTCAAAAGAGAAGTGGCCTATATGTATCATAACCCCACAAGAGGGAAAAATGCAGTTGGGTAGAGACATGAAGGCTGTTGGAAAGATGATTTTGGATTAAAGTGAAAGAGAGAAGTTGGTTCAGTTGGTCAAAGAATGTTTAAGAGACAGTTTAGTAAAAAGACTAAGTGGACCTGGAATGCTATGCAGGACTTGAGTGTGTGACAAGCACGACGGGGAGAGAATTTCAGTGAGTAAAGCAGTCTAATAGAGATTGCATTATGGAGCTATGAAGGTGGATGCTGTAAAGGGATACAGAAGAAGCTTGACTATAAAAGGCTTATAGTTAGCCATTGGCCTATTCTTCAAAGATGTTCAAGCACCAGAAAATGCATTTTATTATTTTTTTCTCTGTAACTTTTGGTGGACAAGGATCTCATGAGACAACTGGTCAACTGTTCTTTCAGTAAAAGAAATCACAGGCTTTTAGAATAATGTTAACCCACTTAGTGAATGATTAGAGGGTACACATGAGTACTCTTGGGGCAGTGAGAGGAAGGGAGGGAGGATTGGCTTTTAAATTTTATAATCCTTATGTTCAAGTGACTGTCTTAATTCAGTGTTGTACATTCTAGAACTGAAAACAGAACTCAAGTGTCCAGGTGGAAGCTGTACCCTGGGACTGAAGAAAATAGGAAGTCTCAAAGTGAGCTGTGAGCAGTTCCTGCGGATGGGGCTTCGATATCAACATATGGATCCTCCTTCTCCTAACATTGATTATATCTCCATCCAGTTGGACCTCACAGATAGCAGGAGTCAGATCGTATACAAGGTAAAGTATGGGGTTATGTACCTGTATCCCCAGCTGATCCAAAAAAAGAGGGCCAGTTCCATGGGTATGCTCACGTTGGCTCCCATGCCAGCTTAAGAAACTGCCCAGTGACTCATTAGAACTGTGGGCTTGTTTATTCTGTTAGTAGTGCTTAAAACAGTAGCTTTGTATATAATATCAGTATAAATAGCTGGGGCAACTGTGTATCAGCTGAAACAGTTTAGCTCTCGCCTATCTCTGGACTAGGGCCAGTTACATGCTACCTTTCTTCCCTCTTCACTTCGGTATTCTTCAGGTTACCATTTGATCTTGTGTAACACCTTCTCTTTGATTCTTCATTTCCCTCTTCTTTATTAGAACCACTTTTCATCTGTTAGAGGAACTCAGGGGTCCATATACCTATTCTGCAAAGCAATGGGAAACTGACAGGGAGGGGACCTCAGTTCCGCTTTTATTGTAGTTGCAGATTATATGCTTTTCACTCTTTCAGACTTTGAGAAAGAGGACTGGATGAATGTGACAGGCCCACAATGGCCTCCTCCCTCTTCCAATTTCTTTTAAATTCTCCTGCTGTTTCCTGCTCTTGATCTCATCACATTGAAAGGGTGGCATAAAGTAGAATCAGTGTATATGAAATATTTAACATGCTACTCTACTGATTCAGGTGTTCTATAATGTATTAATTTATGTAGCTGGGGCAACTGTGTACCAGCTGAAACAGCTTGGATTTTGTGCCAAGAGGCAGTGATCCAAGATTACATTTGTGAAAGACCTCCATCTTTCACAGTCTGACTTCTCACTAGGATTTCTTCTAAGATACCCAAGGAACTGATAACACCTGAAATAAGGAAATGATAACAGAAGATCATAAAATTTTAGAATTGTGATTTGGAAAAAAACTTTGAGGTAGTCTGGTCAAATTGATCAAGTAAGTCACTTAGAGAGAGCTCTTAAAGGATAGATCTGAGTCTCACATTTAATAGATAAGATCATGACACTGGGCCCAGATTGCCTGCATTCAAATGTCTACTTAACAAGCTATGTGACTTTGAACTTTATGCTTCGCTTCTTCACCCTAAAATGGGGATAATAGAATCTGTTTCTCAAAGTAATTAGGAATATGAAATGAAGTAATACTTATAAAGCACTTCACACAAAGCCTGGCACATAGTAGCACCACACATATTTTACTAGTTAAAAAGCCACCCAGTAAAAACTGATCATCAGCCAGCTTTAGAAATAACTGGTTTAGTTCAAGCCCCTTATTTTATAGTGGTGGCCAGAGAAATTACATACATTGCCCATATGTACACAGCTGTTTTATGGCTGAGCCAAGACTAAACTCTAGATCTCCTGACTACAAGTCGATGTCTTCTGTTTGTTTTGACATGAAACTCCTTTAACGTTAAATGCTTTCTTATCTCCTTTAAAAAAATTAGATCCGTTTTTTTTTTTTTCTTGATTGATTTTTCTTCTTCCTCTCTAAACTGAGTTAGGGCTTTGTTTATATTTTCAAATCAGTTTTACTGGGAGTTAACGCCTTCAAATGACCTTGTTTTATTTAGAATTAACCCATTCCATAGTCAATTTGACATGTCATAAAACAAATTATCTTAAGGATATAAAAGCAATATGCTTACTGCAGAGAATATTTTATAAAAAACACAGAAATTAAAATAAGAAAGTAAAACTAGCTATATATCTACCATTTTTAGACACACACTGTGGGGAGACACAGACACCTTGTTTAGTGGAATCGAATTAATACTATATTTAAAACTTTATATCTTGTGTTTTTATTATTTTTATGCTTATACAAATCCATCCTCATGACTAAATGGCTATTCACCCATAATTTCCTCTAGGTTTTTAAAGGTTTTCTTGTTTACATTTGCCTTTTTAATCCACATGCAATAAAATTTATTATATTTTGTAACAACGGAATAGTTTTTTCAAAGCAGCCAAAATTTTCAGCACTATTTGTTGAATAATTAACCTATTTCCCCTTGATTTTTGATGATTCTTCTACCATATAGAAAGATATTATTTATACTTTTTCAAGGCTAGTTCTTTTGTTCCTTAGATTTGCATACTTTTTTGTGCTAATACTCTATTATTCTAAATATAATAGGTTTATAATACACTTTAATATTTTACAGGTAAGTTCTTCCTCATTACTTCTCTTCAACATTTCTTTACCCATTTTCTCACCTATTTTTCAATTTCAAAAAAGTAATTAAATCATTTATGTCCATTAAAAAAAAAGCCTCTAAGCATTTTTATCAGGACTGGATTGCAACTACAAATCATTTGGGGAAGAACTAGAATATTAGAACATTTACCACATTGAGTCTTCTCATCCAGAAATAAGGTATCTCACTTCATGTAGGCAAATAGTCTTTGATATGTTTCTTTAAAGTTTGCAGTTTTCTTCATGTAAGTTGAGCACACTTATTAAGTCCAGTCCTTGCCAGTTTGTTTTTGTGAAGTTATTGTGAATAAACTCTTTTCCCTCCATTGTGTCATCTCATTGGTTACTGATGATAAATAGGAAAGCTATTTTTTTAGTATAATTCTCTTCTATCTGGTTTCTTTCTTGAATTCAATTATTCTAAGAATGCTTCAATTCTTTGGGCTTTTAAAGACCCTAATTATATCTTTCACTAATGATAATAATTTTATCTTTCCCTTTTTAGTAATTATTACTCTTGTTTCTGGTCTCTTCTCCTCTGGTTTGGCCAAAATGATATAAAATACAATGATGCTTATAAGAAGCCTTATCTTATATAATTTATCAATATCATTTTCCTACACTGTCCTGTTTAATGCTTCTGCCTTGAATGCATCATTCTTTGAAATTGATATGGTCATTTCTGCTTTTTTCTTTTCTTACATTGGATCATTCTTTTACTTCTTTGTATGTAATTTTATTTTAAATGTCTCCTCCTATAAGGCACATATAATTGGACATTTAACTTAAGAATATTTGTCTTGAACAAGGGAATATAAGCTACATTTTTCTAATAATAAATACGTAGGTTTTTTTCCCTATCTCATTTTCTGCTGTCATGCTTATTAAAAAATTTTGCTTACAATATAGGCTATATTTTCTTGGCCTATAGTTTTACTTATTTGAAAGTCCTATATCCCACTTCGTTTTGCTAGAATTAAATTCTAAATAAAAAATTTTTTAACCTGTATTTTTAATATTTAAAGTAAAAACAAACAAACAAACAAAAAACAAGTTCTCTTGGCTCCTTCCTATAAATGATGTGGATTGATTCTATTTATCCCTTTTCCTGGCAATTGCCCATTCCCAGTCTTTGTTTATATAATCTGCAATTTTAGTTCTAGCATATCCTTGTTATACCTTATTATTTCTTATATTGTATATCTTTTTTTCAAGTAACTTCTTTTGACATTTGTATCCATTTTCTTAATATGTTTAAAATAACTTATTTATTTAATCTTAACTCTAGGTTTAATTGTTATTATTGTTCAGCACCAGTCCTTTTTATATTGAGATTTCTCCATTCTTGATTTTTCAAATTATATATCTTCAAATCATTTTTTTATCAGCATATGAAGAATAGATACTCCGAAGACTGAGATGTCTCAGCATATTATTTGTCTTCATCAACCATACAGTAGGGGGTAGGTGGGGTTAAATGTCTTCTCTGTTTTTCCCTTGCACTCCTGTCTTTGGAGCATTGCTGGCTAGTTTCTGAACTTCCAGACTATGGGCAGGTGGTTTGGGGGGAGTGTTAGAGAGAGAGGTCTCATTTGATCAGGCACTGATGGGAAATGACTTCATGCTCTCTGAGTCTGTCAGATGTTTCAAACTGCTTATTTATCTCTGAGGCAATTTTCTGGTTTCTCGGGAGATACCTCATCACAAAGATCCTCCATTATGGAGGCCTCTTACTTGTAGATCTCTTGTCTCAGGAGGATGCATTTCTGGCCTGTGTGGTCTTAGGATATGATTTTCACCTCCGGCTTCCTGCTGCTGGGGTTCTTTGTCCTCTTGAGGATGTGCGCTAAAGATTAGGGTCCAGGATGACCCTAGACCAACTCTCTATCCCATTTGGCCTATATCTTGAAGTAATCATGTAATCTTTCCTGCCATAAACAAGGACTATAAGCTAATCCCAGCACAAGCACCATTATTCTTTGGCCTTGAGCCATTTAGCTTCTTCAGGTATGAGCCCAGCACCACCCATCTGTATGAGCTACCTATAAAAGACACATTTTAAAGCTGGTCTCTAGGAAATTTCTCTCTTGCCAGCTGAGACAAGGGACGTAGCATTGCCCCACCCTTCCTCTTCATGTGTATGTGTGGCATGTGTGTCGGGGGTGACTCAGCACAACACAGCACTCTTCTCTCTAAATAAATCTTTTACCTCTTTCAACCTTTTCATATTTTTTTATGGGTGAGAGGGTTCTAGAGTCTGGAACTGGTTCCAGACAATTTGCTTTATAAACTCTGCCTACACTATCTGTCTCACATTCACTTTGAAATCTGATAACCCTTTTATTGGAACTTCAGTTGAGACAGAGCCAAGAAGAATCCCATTTTTAACATTATGTTGCGTACAGATTATAACTTGTTGTCCGATACCATTGTTCAGCAATATTGAACCAATGTGACTCTGATAATTGAGCCCGGTTCTCTTAACAATGGAAAACATCAAATTTTATGATAACCAGCATTTCCTGCTGCGAGGGTTCTTCCTGCCTATAGTACTTGTTGAGACCTCAGATTTCATGATGCACACTCATGGTTTTGCGGAGGGATCCCCACGTGAGGGCCTTCTCCTCGTAGCTCTTTCATTCGAGGAGGGTGTATTTCTAGCCTAAACGTTCACTTGCAGTTCTCATTATCTGCTCCTCACTTGGAGACCCAGAGTTTTAACTAACTAGACAACTGGCAACTATCCTTCAGTCGCATGAGTACTGAGTTGTAAAGACGTTTTCCTCCATCCTGTCCCTGCCTCCTTTAAAGTGACAGGAAGTGGGCAGGATGGCGGGAAGAGATTGGCAATATGTGCTAGCCACTGCGAGGTACTTTACTTTGGCTATCTCATTTAATCCTCATTTAATAGCTGGAGATTTATTATTCCCATTTTACAGATGTGGGAAATGAAAGTTGGGAGTTAAATAACTTGCCTAAAGTCACACAGATCATCAATGCTGGAGATAGAATAAAAGCACAGTTTTTTCCAATGCCAAAATTGGTGCCCCTTCTCAATCCTGGCTGCATATGAATCACCAGAAAGCTTTTAAAACACCATTTTCTGGTCCCTTCCTTGGAACAATTAATTTGGAGATGGAGTTTAGGCGTCAGAATGTGTTAAAAGTTCCCCAGATGATTCTAATGTGCAGCCAGGCTTCAGATCACTGCCAGGTACATTCTCTCGGCTGTGGTTTTATGTTAAGTATCCTACTATTAACCCTGTATGTTGTAGCTTCATTTACATTGTTTCCCCCTTCGTATTTTCTTTTTCCTTCAAAAGTCAGAGAGTGCGTGGTTGCCTGTCTATATCAGAGCTGGCATTCCTAATCAGCCCCCAAGGGCTGCATTCATGGCCATGTTTACTCTGGAAGTGGATCAGTTCATCCTGACCTCTTTGACTACATCAGTTCTGGACTGTGAATTGGATGAGACCCCAAAACCCTTGCTGGTGTTCAACATTACTAACGCCCCACTCCAGGGCTATGTGACTCACCTGTGGGATCATACCAGACCAGTCTCCTCATTCACCTGGAAAGATCTCAATGACATGCAGATTGCCTATCAGCCACCAAACAGCAGCCATTCTGAAAGGAGACATTATGAGGTAAGAAGGAAGAGAGACAAAGCTTCTAGCCTATTTGGTATTCACAGAGTTATTTAAGAAGCCAGTTCTCTTAACTTTCAGGTTAGTTTGTATATTCTTTGCCTCTGAAAAGAATCAATCGCTGTAAATCAGAATGTAAACTCAAGTGTCCAGAGGAGCCAGGCTGGTGGTGCGAGGGAGAAAACCCTGTCTGGGGGTAGATTATGGGAAACTAAAGAAAGAGCCAGCAACTTTTGAAGCAGCTGCAACTCAGTTCCAGCTGATATAGATGCACCTAGTATTGCTATAGCTCCTTTGTCACAAGAAGTTGAAAATCTATATATTTTTGCAAAAATGTTCGGTATCATTTATCATAATGGTTCACTTAGACCTAGATCTCTGAAAGGCTCTGATCCTTGCAAATCGGCACCCATGTGCCCATTTCAATTTTAAAACTTACTGTGCCAGCTACAAAATATTTCTGAGGGCCTTGTTTGGCCTAGGCCTCATCAGTTTGAGAACTCTGGTGCCTTTAACAGCCTTCCTTTGTTACACAGACTATTGAGTTTAGAGATGAGTTTTATTTACAATGCTTTTATTAAGAAATTCTTTTATTTTTTTATTTGCAAAATTATTTTACTAGAATTCTTAATTTTAATTAATAACACTGATTTAGGATAGGAATTCCATAGTCTCATATGGTAACCGATTTCACTATCAAACACTTCCCATCAGGAAAGTCCTCTTTCTATTTAATCTAAATCTTGTCTGCTGCTACGTCAGCCTCTTTCCTATTATTTTGTATTCAGTGAGAATGAGGAATAGCTGCTTACAGACTTGCACATAATAACTCTTCACATACTTAAAAACCTACCAGCAAATTGATTCATACAGGATGGAAAATTTAAATGGACAGATTGATACAGACCTGAGCTCAGATTTATTAAGGAAAATGAGTGTCCCTGGGCTTACCAAATTGTCCTCCATTTAATTTAGGCATTTGCAGCATTTAGCATCAAGGGCAGATAAAATATTTTAAATTGTAAGTGCTGTATTTTGCCCTTTGCTTATATTTTCTTTATTTTGTAACGGTAAGTGGCAGCTTTTGTTTCTTTATTGCCCTTATCTCTCATTCCTTCCATGTTATGGAGAAGTTTCTCATTAGATATTTTACTTTGAGCTCACAAATAAAGCACCTCCACTCTGCTGCTTCCTGTGTGCATTTTCTTGCATTTGAGAAGAAAGTTCCTTAGTGATTGCATAACAATTTCATATGGCTCAACCTAATAAATATTTACATTACACCTCCAAAAATACAGCTCCCACTTCGGTATAGTTTAATTTTAAGTCTTTTACTTTGGTACCCTTGAAACTGTTTCTTTTATTATGTTGTATTTGCAGACATGTTGCTGTCTGTTCATTTCTCTTATCCTCTCTAATAGACCACACAAGTTTCAAAAATAGGCAGTAAGCCTTTTGTTCTGTATTGTCCATCATCCTTCTTTGTCAACACCTGGTGCAGTACATATATAGCACATAATAAGACTCAAAACTTACTGTATAACCCCACTTAGTAGTCATGGATTTCATGGGAAAAAATAGAGTCTGGATATTTAAAAATATGTCTAGTGGGTTAGATGCCTCTAGATCAGAGTCTCCCAATACCAGAACCACTGACATTTTGGACTAGATAATTCTTTGTTGTGGGGGCTATCCCCTGCATGGTTGGATGTTAGCAGCATCCCTGGCCTCTATCCGCTAGATGCCGATAGCGTCCTCTCCACAAGCACACCCATGTGTGACACCAAAAATGTTTAAAGACATTCCTAAATGTCCCCTGAGGGGACAGAACAAAATCACTTCAGTTGAGAATTATTACTCTAGACCCTGTATCTTTGAGAGAGGTGTGATTGGACTAATGCTGGACTGGCATAGTCTTCTGACCAAATGCAGGGTCACTTCTTCAGCATATTTCAGGTTAAGAAATCCTTTTATAGAGAGGAAAATTTAAAATACTGATAAATTAAAGAACAAGGTCTAGAGCCTGAAAACGCGAAATCAGGTTGTCAAAAAAAATGATATCAGGCGGCAGCAGAAACGTGAACTCATTTTGCCTCTATCTGTGGTGAATACCTCAGAAGCAATGGTATTTTATACTATAACATCTCAATGTGTGGTTCATATGCAACTGTTTGTTTATAGGTGGAGTTGGAGATACATGACTTCTTCTTTGAAAGGAGTGCACCTATTATAGTACACATCTCTGTCAGAACAGCTGATACAAATGCCCCGCGAGTGTCCTGGAACACAGGTGAAGTTCAATGTGGGGTGTCTTCCCTTGAAGGGAAGTCAAGAAAGTATATGGGTCAGGAAATAAAGGTAGTTTGATTTCCATTTCACACACGAGGCAACTGAAACCCAGACAGATTAGAGACATTGGATAGTTGGTTTTGTTTTATTTTTCCTACTGGCGGGATAAGAAATTTCAGTCCAGAATTCCTGAGTCCTGGAGACAAGTTCTTTCCTCTGCAGAAGATAAGCCAAAAGTACAACTTTCACTGACTGAGGCAAAAATAAAAAAAAAAAAAAAAAGACCGTCTGTGACATTGAGCTATAGTTTGACTGAGAGAGAAAAGGTCTCCAACTCAAATTGTTCAGAGTGATAGAAGGAAGGCATGGACTAGTGCCCTTCACATTGTCCTGTTTTTAAATTGGGTGGTATGGAAACCACAAATAAGCTTAAATTGATTTTTTGTTCTGTTTTAAAAGAAGGCTTTGCTGTGCCTTTCATTTCTCTATGGAATTATAAAGCTTTGTATATATTTAAGTCACATCTAAATGTAAATTGTAAATGAGGAATTTTTTCCTTTCCCACTGATCACATCAAGAGTAGTCAAAACATACTTATAAGCAGTTGTAGGTCCTTTCAAGCAGATAATATCTGTGCTGATTTAAATCCTCAGGTGGCAGTTTAAACAAATTGCCTCTTGTGTTTGTGTGTGCTCACACATGGGTACACACATACACATATGTGTTTGTAGTATGTGAGTTTCCATAGAGATGGAGGACATCAGTTGAACAGCCTTTATTTATAATTTTAGCTCTGCGTCCCGCTCTACTTCTATTAGAGTGATGAGACTTACTTAATAGTCTGTATGTGTATGTGTGATCTGTGAAACCCAGCCTTGTTAAAAGAGCTCCAAATCTGGTTTTAGCTACTTTAGACATTAGAACCTTTTTTAAAGTGAATTTTTATGAACTTATATGTTCATCATCAAAAACTTGGAAAGTGCATTAAATAGAATAAATAGTAATGAATAAATAAATAGTAATGAGTGAATAAAATTATCTGTTACTCCACCATGAAGACATAACCTCTTGTTAATATTTTGCTCTACTTCTAGTCTTCTTGCTTGTTCTTCTCCTGCATCCCATAATGCCTTGTCCTGTGATGTACAGTGTACTCTTGGCTTCAAAACTCCTATTACCAGTCACAGAGATCTTTATATGTACGTGTCCTTCCCTGATTTCTCCTTCTCTCCCTATTTCCCTTTCTCCCTTCCTCTTTCCTCCCCTTCCTCCCTCCCACCCTTCCTTTTTTTAAAAAGTGTACTTTATGTCTTAGCCCAGGTTGTCTAGCAGCCCCTGAGGCAAATTATATGCATTAATGTACACTAAAAACAAGAATAAGGGGGAAAGGAAAGTCAAGATGGTGTGACTGAACTGGTCACAGCTTTACAAGAAAATAAAACTGATGGCTTAGTAGTACTGATGTCTCCCAGAAGAGGTGGAACCACTGTGTGTGGGAAGAGTCAGGAGTAGGGTGAGCAAAGGATGAACAATCTGTCAGCTACTTCCCATCTTCTGTTTCTTCATGGTCAGTTTGCCTCACTGGATGTTAACACCTACATGTCCAAGTTGTGTTACCTGGCCCCTCTTAGCTGCCACTGCACAAACTCCTTGAGTTCATGGTGTAGGACCTGGCCACAGTCACAAGGGAGGTCATGCCAAAACTTAGCCCTCACCTCAGAGGCAATGAGGTAACCGGTCGGATCAAAAGATGACAACAGTGGCAGTCAGGGCTTTGCAATTAGGAGGAGTGTGGGAGCCCTCATGGGACTGCTACAGCTAGAAAGTGGGCCAAAGTCAAGGAGGCAGAGGAAGCTGGACAGATTTGAGGGGAAGCATTAACCGGGTCCACTAGTACACTGTCTTTACATGTTATCAACTTGTTTTTTAAAAAGCTCTGTTCCCTTTCACGATTCTCTGTAATCTGTTGGTTCCCAGCTCTACTGGATAATAGGAAGGTTGATGATGTAACAGCTCCCTTTTTTTAACCAGAGAACCTGAAATCTGTATTCTTGTTCTTAGCAGCACTTACTCTCCCCAAATTTCCTCCAACATGCTGGGTCCAAAGAGAAGGTTTTATTTTAATTTCTTTAGTTACAAATGTTTCTTCCTCATGATAGTCAAAACTAAAATACAGCCCTCAGTGTAAAATGTTAGATACTTCATGTCTAACACCATTAAACACTGTCCAAGCACTGTCCAAGTAGCTCTGTATTTGCATATTTAACCACTTTACTTTCTCCTGTGGGCTACCTATGAACTCATAAATTACAGCTGGCCCTTGAAAAACATGGGAGTCAGGGGTACTGAACCTCCACATAGTCAAAAATCTGTGTATCATTTATGGCTTCCCTAAACTTAACTACTAGTAGCCTACTATTGACCGGAAGCCTAACTGATAACATAAATAGTTGATTAACACATATTTTGTATGTTATATATATATCACATATTGTATTCTTGCAAAAAGGTAAGCTAGAGGGAAAAAAATGTTATCAAGAAAATCATAAGGAAGAGACAATACATTTACAATATTTATTAAAAAAAATCTGCATATAAGTGGACCCGCACAATTGAAACCCCTGTTGTTCAAGGGTCAACTGTTTATAGAAAAGAACTTCTGGTTCTTTTGCCCACAACCTATCTGAATGTAGCCTTGAAAAACTTATAGACATTTTGAACTAGAAACCACTGTGAACAAAGCATCTGTTCTTTCCTTTGGCGTTTATTTTCTGGTACCGTCATGTCTCTAAAAGATATGTCACAAGGAACCAGTTGTCAAATTGGAGTTAATAGTACTAAAAGTAAAAAATATTACTAAAATTAAAAGCTAAATTCTCATTTATTGCAAAGGTTTTGAAGATGCAATTTTCACGGATTAAAATTCATCGTCTTAAAATAGGCTCATTGGCGTGTCATAGAATTTCCCAAGGCATTTTTATTTTATCTTGCAGGTCTGAATCTTCTGGAAGGGCAGTCTCGGGCTATCACTTGGGAACAGTTGCAGATCGTTGACAACGATAACATTCATGCTGTGCAGCTGGTGACCGTGGACGGGCTGCAGCATGGAAGGCTCACAGTAAGAGGTGAATGACCAGCCTTTGTAATCTAGAAAAGAACCCCAAAAGTACTTTCTCTGAAAGCAAATCATATTTAATAGGATATATGTAGTGTCTCTTGAGCCCCACTTCTAAACAAATTATCAGATTCTAAAAATCTGGAGATCTTGAAACCATCGGCTCTTATGTTAGAGTGCTCACATCAATGGATGACCATTTATGCTTGGCTTATTTAAAACTCAGATGTCTTGTAGAGCTCCTTCTAAATATATTCCTTAACTGATTGTCTTATCTTAGTTGGGAGACAAAATATTTCCCTCTCATTTCTCTGCTTCAGAGAAATGTACGGAAAAACAGAAAAACGTGTTTTTTAATACTTTGGTAATCATTTTGTTATTATGATTTTAGTAGCAGTTACCATAGTTTAAAAAGAAATGGTTTTATAATTATAATTATAAGGATGATAGTTAAGGTTAATGGGCCTAATAAAAATAATAGCCATACTTTATGATAATATCATTCATTCCTTATAATGAGCTCAGACAATTTAATTCAATTTTCCTCTTAGTTTGCCTAATTATAAAGCAGAAAGAGAGTTCTTATTTTTCATTGTTTGTGATTAAGGAATTCTGAAATCAAAAATAAAATAAATAATATTATAAAGTCTCTTGTCTAATCCCAAGACGGTATGAGGTCAGCTTATGCATGGGTATAACAGTTAGTGTGGAGGTTCAGCTGCATGTAAGGGAGACCCAACTACAGTGGCTTAAAAATTCATTATTTTCTTCATGTGACAGATTGTCCAAAGATAGGTGTTCCATATCCATGATGCCAGAAGCTCTTTTCTGCTCTGTCGGTGGTAACAAGATGGTGCCTTTGCCTCTAGGTTTCAGATCTGCATTCAAGGAAGGAAGAAAATGAAAAAGTTATGTTATCTAAGTTTACTTTCTTTAATAACTTGTCCCAGGAGTCTGATACAATGACTTTTACCAACTTATATACTACCCCTATGTGCAATGGAGTCCAGGGACACGATTTTTTGAAATGGCTGTATTGACATTCCAAATAGAACCAGGATTTTGCTACTGCGAAAGAAGGAGAAAGTGGCTATTGAGCAAGTAGCTTGTAATGTCCATTATACTAGTGTTTAAGCATTATTTCAGTGGTGTGGGGAGAGTAACGAAGCACTGCCATCAAGAATTATAATAGTTATGTAGAGCGAAGCAGTGTTTATTAATACTATGAAATAAAATGTAGAGCAGTAGCCCATAAGACAATGATGTTCTGGTCTTAGAGGAGGAAGAAAATAGCACTAATATTTGTTAAGCATTTACTTTGTATCAGATAAGGGACAAAGAATTCTACGTGCTTTATCTTATATCAACTTTATGAAGTGAGGTACTATCATTATTCCTATGTTTGAAATGGGGAAACTGAGACTTAGAGAAGTTAATGTTTCTAAGGGCATGAGCCTAGAAAGTGGCAGAACCAGGATTTGAACCTGGGCCAGTTGATACCACAGCTCTAGCTCTTGGCCAATAATCCAGTGAGTCTCAAAGTTTAGCATACATTAAACTCTCTTGGAGGTCTTGAGAAAACACCTATTGCTAGACCCCACCTCCAGAATTTCTGATTCATTAGGTCTGGAGTTGGGCCTGAGAACTTGCATTTCTAATGATTTCCTAGATAATGCTGATGATGCTGGTTTGAGATCACACCTCTAGAAGTGCTGCCACCTAGGATGATAACAATAAGTTAAAGAATAATTAACATTTATTATAGGCTTACTATTGTTTAAGTTCTCTCATCTGTACTAGGGAATAGGAGGTAGATTTTGTTCCTGTTTTATAGATGAGTCTCAAAAAATTAAATATCTTGCTCAAGCCTGCACAGCTACTGAGTGTTACAGCCAGTGTTCAAAACCAGATCTGTGGAGGCCCAGAGCCCACTAAACAATCTGTTGTTTTTCCAGGCAAGGAAAGTATCAGCGGCACCACTTTCCTTAATGCTGTCTTATCTAGTGCTGCTTTCACTACAAGTGTTGCCTTTGCACTCCCTCATTCAACCAGTGCCACCTCTGCTCTCTTCATCAGGGGGGAAAGGATTTCTCTTCACTGCGACTGACCTCCAGGCTGGAGTTGTTCGCTATCATCATGATGACAGTGACTCCACCAAAGACTTTGTGGTATTCAGGATATTCGATGGCCATCATAGCATCCGCCATAAGTTTCCCATCAACATCTTGCCCAAAGATGACAGTCCTCCATTCCTCATAAACAATGTTGTGATTGAACTGGAGGAGGGACAGACCATATTGATCCAGAGTTCCATGCTGAGAGCGTCAGACATGGACTCCAGTGATGACTACATCTTCTTTAATATTACAAAACCTCCTCAGGCTGGAGAGATCATGAAGAAGCCAGGGCCAGGACTGATAGGTAAGTTCTGGGCAGTTTGGATCATTTGTGTCAGAATTTGTACAAAGGTGGACATCAAGTTTATGAGGTGGTACAATTAGTATTCCCATTTTATAGATGGGAATCATCTATCCAAGGATGGGCCTCTAGAAAGTTCCAGAAAGCTGGATCTGAAAGTAACCATTATGCTATGAAAAATGAAGTCTGCCAAGCACAGTGATAGGACAAATAAGTATGAAGAGAGATGGTTGGCCCATCTAGTATTGATAAAGTAATGGCATGGATAACATTTGCTTATATTTTGTTAGAATAACTTCATAACTAATTCTTAAAGTAGTCAGGAGTAACAAAATAGGGATCAAATACTTAGTGTTCCTTAAGATTATGTTTTTTCGCAATATTTTTCTAATGCTAAATTCTCTTTTAAAACAGGTGTAACAATTTCAATTTTTCTGCTTTATAATTTATAAACTTTGATAAAAAGCTTTTAGTGAAAGTTTCTTGGGTCTATACAACATACTAGGCAGGGAAGGCTTGGAAATAAGTCCAATATCTTTACACCCAACACCTAGCAGATGGTTACAAAAGTATTTGGTGTTTTGTGGGCCCAATAGGCTACCCTGTCCATGGCTTCCTTCAGAGAGATCTATTTAATGGCATCGTTTACTATCGTCACTTTGGTGGAGAAATCTTTGAAGATTCTTTTGAATTTGTCTTGGCAGATAGCCACGAACCTCCAAATCTCTCAGTGCCACAGGTAAGAGGCCAGCTCTAAACACTTTTCCAAAATTTTGTCTACAGATATCAGTTATAGGAGGTATTACAGGTTTCAAGGTTCAAAGTTTGAGAAGCAATGGATTAAGCAAAATTAAATTAATTTTTTTGCAACATCACTTCTCTACCACTTACTTTTCTAAACAGTTTAAAAAATTTCTATGTGATATTTCCAAGGTTGTTTAACCATGGGGCTGTTTTTTTTTTTAAATTTATTTATTTAAATTAGTTTCAAGTATATAGTAAATTGGTTAGACATCTATATAGTTCACAAAATGATCCCCCCAATTGCTGCCTTCCTCCTCTGGCCCTCCACCAAGCCATCATATTAATGCTAACTGCATTCTCTCTGTCATGCTCCCCATCCCTGTGACCAACTATCAACTACTAATTTGTATTTCTTTAACCCTTCACCCCATTCTCTCAGCCCCTCAACCCACCCTCCCCTCTGTCCGTCACCAAATTGTCCACTATATTTGTGAGTCTGTTTTTGATTAGTTTGTTCTTTTTGTTCCTTAGATTCCACATATAAGTGAAATCATGTGGTATTTATCTTTCTCTGTCTGACTTATTTCACTCAGTATAATACCTCTAGGTCCATCCATGTTGTTACAAATGGTAGGATTTCATTTTTTTTTTTTAATGGCTGAGTAATATTCCATTGTATATGTGAACCATAATTTCTTTATCCAGTCGTCTGTTGATGGGCATTTAGGTTGCTTCCATATTATGTAAATTGCACTGCCGTTAATATTGGAGTGTATAGATCTTTACGAATTATTGTTTTGGTTTTCTTTGGATAAATATCCACAGGGCTGTTTTGTACAGAACACCTCACGAAATTGGCTGGCCATAAAGCACTCAAGAAAACACTGACATTGTATGTGTAGTGGCTAAAATATAGCCTCTGGAATTAGACTGCCTATGTTTCTCTCCTGTCCTTGACACTAACTGGTTTATCTGTGCCTCAGTTTCGTCCTCTGAAAAACAAGGACTAATACAACTTCCTTATAGAGTGATTGTGAGGATAAGTGAGAAAATACATATAAAGTACTGAGAATTTTCTGGCACATGGTAAGTACTCAAAAAATAAATTAGCTACTATTTATTCTTGCTTTTGAAGAATGAAGAGTTTTACTGCCACTCAAGGATAGTATTTAAATATATAGAATGCAGAAATAGAAATTACAGAAAATGGAATTAATGTAGGGTCTGAACAACTACAAAAGGGTAGACTTCTTGCAAAGAAAGGGTGATTGGTAGTAGGGTGGAAAAAGACAGGTAAAAACAAGTGATCACCCAGTATATATATTTCTAGTTGTTAGGTGTTTTATATCTATTACCTTGGAAAGTAGCCTGTGTAGAGGTCTAAGCAAATCTTGAACCATTTCTAAAATGACTATTTAAAGCATGTGTCTCTATTGGTTATATCATGTCTTCTCATAATATCATGGTCACTCACATTAGCCAGTGCATAGATGATTGAACCATTCATCTGTTTGCTAAGATGAAGGTAACAAAAGAGGATGATCAGGAATCATGATGTTGAATAGCCTAGAAACTGAAGGAAATTTGTGACTTCTGCCATGAGGAATTGGAGAGTGAATGAGAAAAATTCTCAGTTCATCTCCTTATTGAATAACAAATAAACTCCTTTACCAATAACCACATCCTCTCTTCATCATATGTTATATTTCACTTCTAGATTACATTTTTGCTTGAGACCTTAATTGATTTGATTATTCCAAATAGCAACTATTAATAGGATTTATTTCTCAATCTTTTGTTGTATCAGCTCAAAATGACCTATGTTTCTGACTAGAATACCATATCACTTTTAACAGATTTTATGCCCTTTTAAGAATAGAAAGCTCAACTTCTTTTTTCTTTCCTTCTATTATTTATTACATAGATCATATTTTTTATATTTATATCAGATTTATAGATCAGATATAGATGTCAGATCCCTTTATATTAAGGACCACAGAAATAAAAACTTAATTGAAACAAAACTGTTCCAAAATCTTGGCAAATAAGTCAGATTAAACGCTGTAGATCCAGTTATAAGTTTGTTTCCTATTATGGATGGGATTCTAAAGAAGTCATAATTACATTTTTTTCTGATTTTATCTTCTTTATTGAGAGAGAGAAAAAGAAAGAGAGAATATATAAACTTGCTCTGTGTTAATTAATTTACCACCTATTATTTGGCTGTTAAATATTCTCCAGCCCAGTCTCGTGCATGCCACCTTTACCTGACATTTCTGCATGTATGTCTCACCAGAATTTAAACTCACAGTTTCTACAAGACATTTAGTATGTGTCTCCCAAAACTTTTTCAAAACTCTAAAGACTCTCTGAAATCATCAATCCCCTTTTTCTCTCTAATATCTATATAATTAGTCAGTCAGCAAGTCTTAGTAATAAAATCTGCTTGATTAATTTCTCTCATCTATCTCTACTTCAAGACCCCATTGCCATTGCTTTAGTTCCAAACTTCATCTTCTCAGGACTAGATTATTCTTAGAACCCTTCATACATCATCTCATAAGAATAGAGGAGATCAATGAAATCTTTGTAGTTGTGGACAATTAAAATTCATTGATAGAATTCATCTAGCATTACTTTTTCTGCAATTCTCCTGCAATTCTTCTGACTTGTGGTAGCCTTAGCTTAGGACCATTCTGGTCTATGGACCTGCTGTCAGCTATAACATCACCGGTTACAGAAAGTTTTCTCTGATGCCCTCATTCTACAATTCTCCCAGGCTGGGTCAGCAATTCCTTTTGTATGATCCAATATCAAATCACTATAATGTAAGTCCATTATTTGTTTCCTTGGATTAACAGTGAGCTCATAGATGGCAAGAATTCTGAATTAGTCATCTCTGTGTCTTCAGACCTTGATACCTAATTCGTAGTGAAATCTCAAAAACAGCTTGTTGGTCCCTAAATGAGTTCTGGTTCTTTCAACTTTTATTGAAACTAGGAGGAAAGAAGACTGAAACATTTGATAGAAATTATAGAGGAAATGAGATGGGAAGGTAATAAGTGTAAAGCTTTATTCTTCAGAGTTTCCAGGAATTAGCATGTATATACTAAAACAAGTATTTTATTTGCATGCTGGTAAGCAGTTTTGTGATGTAAATCTTTGATACCTTTGTCGAAAGTCCAATTTTTAAGAAACTTAAATGATGATCTAGTCTATTTGATGACTGTGTCTTCAATTTGGACAAGTATCTAGTCATGTCCTAAAAACAAAAATGTATTTAAAATATTCAGCAAAATCTGTAACTTTCAGTTGTTCAACTAAAAGTCCAGATAAGATGGTTACTTGGTGGGAGCTTTTGTGCTCAGACGTTTCCATAGTCACTGAAGATTAAATTAAACTCAGGCACAGGATTGTTTAGGCGATGCTTCCAGAACACTTTGATAGAGACAGAAACCAAGCATCTCCTTGGGTGAGAGACAATCTAAT